GCGAGCTGATTAAAAATTAGAGGTAAAGAATCCCTAGTACAAGGGTACATGTGTTTAGTTTGTCTTAAAATTTAAATACAAAATCATTTTTAATTTAATCAGTTTTGAAATCTCATTAATTTATTTATTTGATTTTATTAAATGGGAAATAAGAACTGAAATGAGACTTAATTTAATATGTTACTATTAGTATATGATCAAATTGATCGATTTTAATTTTGCATATAAAAAGTTGAAAGGAAAACACCTTTAAATTGATTTCAATTCATCAGAAATCGGTGATCGACCTGTGATTTGGCTGTATTGTGTACATGTCTTCAGCCCCGGGGTAGAACGGGGTACAACTTGTATATTCCATGCAAATTGTAGTGGTCAGCGTAACAATGGGCACTAATTACCTATTGTTCTTCGTCTGCGGCTACAGGTGTTTTCAATAAACAAACTACCTACACTGTACATGTACTCGCTACTTTGGAACAATCTTAAAGTTTATGGTCGCACGAAAAAAAAAATCCATAATATTGAATTTGATGACGAATAAAATTGATAGAAAAAATATTTAGAATAGAACACTTTGGTACTATAATGAAAAAAAGATACATATATGTACATAATGTACGTTGTACAGACTTATTTTCATTTTTATTTCAATTGTCAAAGATCTATCTTCTTCAGTATTTAATTTCATTTTTTAGTTTTACGCATATTTCTTCAATCAATCAATCATTTATTTGAATCTTTTTACCATTTTACTTTAGTATACATAGACCACAAAAACATAAAAAAATGTAGGTGGTTTTATACATAACAGTAGGTCTAAAAGGCATGCGTGAATAAGAAACTAAACCAAAAAAAAAATGTAGGTTGCTATAAATGCAAAGTAAGGGAATTTAGGCCGGGGAGTATATTTTGTTTATCAGATAAAAGAATATCCCGGGGGAGGTGGTCACATGTATTTTCAATTCTGAATCTCTGCTAACGATTGTTTGGGACCGGTAAATACCCAAACAAAAACTTTTCTTAACAAATCATGCCAAAATCACATACAAACCATATCAAACTCACAAATTCATGATTTTGAACTATGATTTAGACATGATCCATTAAATGGATCATACTGAAATCATAGATGACAAATAAGGAAGTATGATCCTGATGTGGTTTGTTTCTGGGGAATGAGTCTGCTATGATTTTCTTGCGATTCTGACATGTGCCATTAACTTAGAAAACAAAGGAACATGAGTTTGAAATGATTCGTTAACTTTAAGTGCTAAAAGTTTGTGATTTTGATATGGTTTCTTAACTTAGTCTTTAAACTCCATACGAGTTACACATGATCTGTTAACTTCTCTGTTGAGAATCATGAGTTTTATATGATTTGTTAACTTTGTCAGAATTGGTTGTATGATCCTGATATGGTTTGTTAACTTTGTCATCTATGATAGGTGAAAATGCAAGCTTTAAATTCACTTTTAGCTTGGAGAATCAAACAACATGCATACATCAATAAAAGTCTTATTTAAAAGAAAACAGGAAAATTAAGTTTTAATAATTAAAATGCACACGGCATGTACAGGTATATAGTAACAAAGACTATATTTTTTTGAAATTGAATGAAATGACAAACAAATTTAATACACTAATTCATATTTAAATTAGCACACATGTATTTTGTTTAAATAACGCAGCCAGAATTTTATTAAAACTCTTTCTCTTCATGTAATATTTGTGATCCACTCCCAATCTAACTTTGAGGCATTAGATTAGGATTGGATCACTGGTCAGTTTCAGAGTCATAGTAACCTTGTTATGCAATTCTCCTGCTGGGCAGCACGCTGTAGTACAGTGGTTTGCAGCTGATCTAGGTCAGAATTTGAATTCTGATAAACAAGATGTGCGCGTTTTCTTGTTGCCGATTTAAAAGAAAAGCCTTTGCATCATATAAGCAATAAAAATAAGTGCTGGACTATTAACTCTATACTCGGTGAGTATAATTCATTAATTTTATTGTTGACCTTTTTTTAATTTCTACCAGCAAGTGCATGATTCATTTTTTCTTTGTAAATGTGTAGAAGAGACATAGCAAAGCTTTACATGGATTTGAGCTGAAAACTTAATTTAAGTATCAAATTGACCTTGTTGATTCAAATATTTGTTGTACATGTACATGTTAATCGTTATATAAAATGTTTATTTATAAAAATGAAATTGTTTTGCAGCTACAGACATTTCCATCTTCATGATTAACATCTGAGTTGCATTCAAATTAACAAATTCAAAAGACCCGCCTTTGGTGAAGACAAAATTTGTGTACGTAAATAATATATTTCAACAATAGTATTCTTTTGGTGATTAATCTAATTCTTTTCACTAATGCAATGGGGAAAGTACTTGAATATTTCATATTTTCATGATCTAAAGATAATGATATGTTGATCGATAAATAAATACCACTTTCTCTACGTTTCTTTTTGATCATTTTAATACGAGTTGTTAGCTACAACAGATCATTCCAGGATCATGGTTTTAATACGAGTTGTTAGCTCTACAACAGATCATACCAGGATCATGGTTTTCTTGCTAGTTGTTTAGTTTAACAGATCATCTCAGAACCATGATCCATTAGCTCATTTGCATGTGAAATTTTCCTATACCGAAATCATATCAAAACCATGATTTACACATGAGTTGTTAGCATGATCCGATAGGCTGTTTTTTCTGTTTGGGTACGTAGACGAGAAATTGACTTCACTTTTTAATAAAAAAAAAAAGGTGTGCAAAATATACAATCATATAGATATAAAGAGAAAGATTCTTTAGTGAAGCACTTTTTTGAAATAATATTAGCCTGAATTGTTCCCAATTCAGATGCAGGAAAACTCCACTTCGCTTAATCCGAGAAAAAAAAAAACCTTACATGTATGGATTTTGAATGTCAGAAACATGACGTTGTGTATCGATCGCACTCATGAATAAATGTTATAATTATTTCCGTTCTGAAATTTGTATTGTTCATTGCAATTGATTCTCTAAAATAATTTTATCCATGCATATAAAAAATTCGATAAGTATAATATCATAACTTGCATGACTTTTAAAACACACAACTAAAGAACAGACCTTGCCCTATCGGCTATCACTTAATTGTAAACAGTATTTCACCCCCTTTTTTTTTGTGCTACAATCAAGTAAAATCATATAAATAAGCACCAAGTCTGTACTGTTCGTTTATACAAAGGTCTCGGACAAAAATGGAATTAAAAAGATTATAATCACTGCACAAAATTCTAATTTTACAAAAACGCAAGCCGTAACGATATCCCTGTGGCAGAATGTACTAATTATTGACCCGATTCTAAAACGAAAGTAGAACTTTTACACGTGGTTGACAGGTATGTTCAATAACAACAAGCACAAAGTTTGCACTAATGGAAAATGTTAATTCAAGTTATAATTTATTTTATTTAGTTTTTTAACTGACTGACCGCATATAACATGTTTAAGGAGTGGTGCATAATATTAGAAGCCATATGCCCATAGACTTAAAACTGTATACAATGAAAAAAGAATTAGCCTAAAAAAAGACGTATATTTCATTGACTGAAAATCACACTGCATAAGATTTATGTCATGTAGTGTACAATACTTAAGCCTTAACAAATAATTTAAAAGAGAGAGAGAGAGAGAGAGAGAGAGAGAGAGAGAGAGAAAGCTATAAAGCGACACGATATAAAATTCGCAGGGAGGACATCGGAGAACTAGAGCGTGCTGTCTACATAATATAAATAAAAAAAAATTAAAGATGCTTCAATTTAATTATATAACCCTGTCACATTCTTCTATTTATAAAATAACAAAGTTTACGCTTCAAGACTAGATTTCATAAAAATATTTAATAGCGTCTTGTTAAAATGAGAGCTTAATTTAAAAGTAATTGGAAAGGGGGGGGGGGGGGTGTTTTCAACTTAATGTGCTCATGCATTTTCAGTTCTCCACACGGTAAAATAAATTGATATTTACAACCATTGACTGTATTGAAGTATTAAAGATACCCACAAAAAGTTTTTGATGACAATACACATACATGTGAGAAAAAATATGAGATGAGATTTTTTTTAACCTTTATATGAACAAAAATTAAACTTTTTAAAAAAAGTACTTGGGAAGAAAAACCACTTCAAATACAACAGAATAATTTTCCTCAGATAATGTTATCTACGTGTAAGGAGAAATTTAAAGAAAAAACACAAATATTTATGAAAGCTTATGTTAACATTACGGTCTAAAAATAATTATAATGAAATTAATAGATGAAAACTGAATACAAATTAATAAAATATGACTTTTTTATTTAGAATAATTTATTTTGTAATTGACTGTAATGAATTTGTTAAAATACTTTAAAAAAAAACAAATAATCATTTCTCAGACTATTTTAATCCTTTCCAAGGTTAAAAACAATGACCACAGTAATTATCAGTAAATCTCAGCATCGACAGTACCTCAACAGTAATTATCAGCAATTCTCAGCAGCGACAGTACCTCAACAGTATTTATCAGTATTTATCAGACTCCACAGTAAAAGACGACAGTAATTATCAGTATTTATCTGCAACAACTAAAATTATCAGCAACAACAGTAATAATAACAGTAAATATCAGTAATTATCAGCAAGAACAGCACCGTATCAGTAATTATCAAATATTATCAGTAAAATTTGGGATTCTCAGCACTTTTTTCGTCCAGTAGTGCTAGCAAAGATTCTATATGTACTTTGTTTACGTTGTTGAGATAGCTGCGATGATTGGGTAATTGGAATACACAAACGACAAACAGAAAGACGTTTATTTATGTTGCAATGCATCAATGAAAAAAATAGAATTCTCAGTTTTATTAATCTTTTTATGTACTAAAAATGAATTAAATTGATGTAATTAAGCGTTCAAAACTTATAGCACGGTATAAATTGTCTGTCAATTACTTTTATTTTTCATTCATTTTCAACGTTATTTTCGCTATTCTTGAGTATTATGAAGGTTTTAAATACTCCACTACTTGAATGCTGGCGTCTAGATATTGTCCCACTAAGAGTCTTCTTCTGTCATCAATTGCCAAAGCAGTAGGGAAGTTAATGTCTTTCAAAACATATCTCAAAAAATTTCCTTCAGAATCAATGACATGTATTGCATGATTAATATAGTCAGCAATAAGGATGTTACCCAAGCAATCTGTAGCTAGGCCTCGAGGCGTGAAAGACTTATATCCCTTTTTCCCTTTATACATAAATTTCAAATCACCCGATGAAATGAAAACAAAAACCGTTTGTTTTACTTCATCCGAGGTGCAGATATCTGAATTACTATTGACACAAACATATGTGGGATTTTTGAGTTTATGATGTGAGCCACTGATACAAATGATTTTCCTCCTCTCACCATCTGATGAATAGACACTCAATCGACCAAGTTTTGTCATTTCGTTATGCTCAGCTACGATTATATCATCAGAACAGCAGGAAAGGCCCCTTGCCTTCCAAGAATTATCTGAGGTTATTGTCTCAATAGTTCCATTTTTAACTCTTTGTACACCCTGTTGGCTTTCTGAGGTGTAAAAAATCGTTTCATCGTAAGCTTGTGTGATGTAGTTTGGTTGTTTTTGAATGGGGAGTGACATTACTTCTTTCCCATCGAAATCCAAGGCACGAATTGTGAAACTCTTTTGGATTCTGTAAGAACCACAAACAAGGATTTGATCTTGACGTGTATACGAAAGATCAAATATATATCCATAAACTGTAGCAATAGTCTGTACGTGTCTAGTATCCTCAAGCAGTTTTTCCAATTCTCTGTAAGGCGCTTGTTTTTGAAGATTCGATACTATGACCTTGTTGGATGGAATCAAAGTTCCTAAGAACTCTAAACAGTTGAATTCCGACTCAGATCGTTGGAAAACAGGTAGCGTTTTTTCAAAAAGTTCCGAAAAGTTTTCAAATGAATATGACGTAGCTTCGTACATAGCTAGCTTTTTAGGGTCGGCAATTTGCAAGGAAAGCTGAGATTTACATTCTTCGATATCTTCAATGACTTTCTCTAGATTCGTTTTGTTATCTCTTAAATAGTCCAGATGTTCCATTTCCATAGCTTCGATTTGCATTGTTAGTTTCTTGACCGTCTCCTCCACTTTATTCTTCAGGGTTAATCCAGCAATTTCCACATCTTTTCTAATGGCTGCATATTTTTCAGGAATTGTGGATATTTTTTGTTCATTGTCACTTGCAAGTTTCATGTAAGTACTTTTAAATTCTATTTCGAGTTTCAGAAGTTCCTTTTCAATCAACGTTCTCTGAGCCTTCAAACGATCTTCCATATATAAGGAAAAATGTTCTTTATGTTCAGTTTGGGAGCAAACAATACAGATCGGTACACAGCAAGTATTACAGAATAAATCGCAGATATGTCTAATATGTTTATCACATACTATACTTGGCAATGCTTTTATCCCTTGGTATGGGGAGTCAAAATGGTCGGGATAATTCTTTTTATGTTTCCCCAGGCATTTCTCACAGATTTTTTTGCCGCAACTACAAGAGAAATCCACATTATTTTCCTCACAGTATTCACAAACAACGGCTATTTGGCATTCTTGTGTCGACTCCATATTTCTGTACGTTAAACTACGCAGCAATATTTTGTAAATTGTTTCACACTAGAGGATCTAAATACCTGGGTATTTTCATGCATGGTTTAACGTCCTAACTTGCATAGAGTGTCTAATTGTTGATCTAAATAATGAACGTCATGCAATCACTTATCTACTGTAGGTAAATTTTAGTGTAATCAATGGTATGTTGCAATGAGGTTTTGTTCCCAGCCGATCGATAAGTTATATAGAAATTTAAAGGACGCGTCTTTGTATCCAATATACCTACGTCTGCATCTAAATAGCTATCTGCCATTTAATAGCTATCAATAAATGTAATAACACGACTTCTTATGCAATTTTTTTTTTACCATAGTTAAAGCTGTAGAATGGCTATCATAAGATATTTTTTTAATTAAGTATATAGAGAGAAGTTGTTTTTTTTCCAAAAAAGTAGTTAAAATTTTATAGTAATCAATGCAGTTGTTCTATGTACTAAATGTTAGTTTTGGTGTAATTGTGAATTTTCACTTTAATTCTTTTAAAAAAACAAATCTGGTCGCAAATCTTTCAAAAGTTTCTTGAAACAAATTAATATTGATATACTATACGCTTTTCTTGAAATATATTCTACTGATTAATGTAAAAAATCAGGATAATTTCATATTCTTCCTAGACAGACATTTGCGAATCGAAATTACATTTCACCTAGAATTTTGTTAGCTTTGAAAAGCTGCATTGGGATCGCAAAAATCATAATTTATAATCTAATCTAATAATTATAAATTGTCTGAAATTGAAAAATAAATAAATTGATGTCTGAAAAAATTAGCGTTAAATATCTCGGCCTTTTAATGATTGATGTATGTTGTTTAACGTCCCTCCTGAGAATTTTTCACTCATATGGAAACAACACCACATGCCGATGGAGAGCTACAAATTTTGTACTATGCTCGGCACTCATGGCCTTTGAGCAGTGAGGGATCTTTTTCATGCCAGCACCTACTGCGATACGGTCTCATCCGAAGGAGTGGTCTCCACGTCCTGCAGTGGGATTGGAACCCGCGACGAAAGGGTTGACTCCTTACTTCACCACTCTAGAGCAGACGCTCTAACCACTGCGCCACGCGGGCGACAGCCTTTTATTGAATATTGCTTTTACATATACTTTCACAGAGTGATATACTCGAACGACAATTCGAAGAGTGATGAGAGCTGTATAAGATATCTATTTCCACAACAAATTAAGTTATTTATTAATAACTCAGTACCTATTAGCCACAGGTACTTGTGGAAAGCCCCCACCCCCTCCCGATATTCAACTCCAGGGCTTATTGGACTTTTCTTTAACACGGGTTATTCCAGTCAAACCGTTGCAATCTCCTTAAGTAAAAGCAATGAGAGAGATTATGACGTCAGACCAAAGCTATATATCTCGGACGTTATTGTATTAAGTGAAACATTCTCTATGCACTTCCGTTGCGTTTAACTGAGGGAATTTCAACGTATAGAATGCTATTTAAGGAGAAACAATGGAATTTTATGCATAGCCAGTCCGATAGAATTGACTAAAACAGAAAAATGTGTAGAAACAGTGTGAATCGACATTTAAGGCTGAAATAAATTTTTAAAAATGCATGTTTTTCAGCATAGAAAGAACATTGGGGGTACAAGCAAACAGACTGGAGTGGCATACTTTTCTTTCTAATAAGGCATACTGGGATAATTTTTGTGGATCGAGTATTTTACAATTTTTTCGCATTGTACACACGATGAATAAGTGCAATCAATATAATTTGTGAAAAATTCCCAATAAGCCCTGGGATTGAATAAAGGCGGTCGGGGTGATATCTTGTCCACAGGTACCTGTGCTTTCAACCTCCAGCATACCCTCATTAAATAAATTCAAACATTTGATATAGGGTATTAGAATAATGTGATATTTGACACTTAGAGAATAGACGCTCATGTTTACAGTTATCATTGATTTTGGGTAATTTAAATGAAAAGAATAATATAAATAAATAGGATGCAGTTTTTGCTCGTGCATTTGAACAGCCAACTCGTGCTTCTGTTCTCCAATATTATTAAATATTTACATTCAGTATAATTTTCCTTATCAAATCCATTAAAAATTCATGACGTTCAAATTTCTATAACACACGCGAGACCTTGTCACCGCGCAGTAGGTACACAGTAGGAACTACATGCATTTTTAATACTCTAGAAATACCAAAATGTAAAATGTTTTATTTCAATTAAATGAAAAACTACAACCCTGAGAAATGAATGTACAAATTAACGTAATGTGCGTTAAGAATTGATTTGTCACCTTTTTTAATCGCAAAGTTTGTTTGCGTAATTAAACTTTGCAACGTCACTTAACGTCATCTGACCTCACAAACGGCTCTTACGTCTATTAACCACGTTAGTTTTGAAGGGCGCTAAATTCACCTTAAATGTTAAAGAAATAAGCAATTATGAAGAAGGAAAATTAGAGAATGTAAATATAAACATTGAATTCATATTTGAGGCTGTCTTCGGTCCTATAACACACCTGGTCGTGCCGACAAATTTATCATACCGCGCTAATGCGCGGTATTCAAATTGTCGGCACGGCCAGGTGTGTTATGTGTTATATGACCGAAGACAGCCAAAAATATGAATTCAATGCTTTAATAATAATTTTGAAAAAGAAGTTATATTGTTCAAGTTTAAACAAACATTTTTTTCAATTTGTAAAATTTTTGAAGATTATCGGCTTATCCACCAGGAAAGAATAACTCTTTAATTTATCATTGAATTCAAAGAGTTTGAAAATGATTTTAAGTTGAAATCTTTTAATGAAACAATTGTCATTTTATGCATCCTGATGTGTCAAGAAAATTCTTTGAGTCTTTGAATATAATTTTTTAATTAACATTTGTACTGCATGGAATATTTCATTTAATCTAGCCTAGATATTAAAGCTTATTGGAGATTTGAAATTTTGAAAGTAAATAAAAGAAATAATTCAGCATATGTATGAGCATAAAAATCTTAATATTTTCTTCAAACGCCTGGGACCGGTCACGGTAGCCTAGCTAGAGGTAGTGCGTTCCCTTCGAGATCAGGAGGCCCGGGTTCGATTCTCATTCGCAGCGCAACGTCAAACCTAAGACTTAAACATAGGTAATGACTGTTCCTTCGCTAAACGCTTCGCATTAGAAGTGAAAGTCAAGGGACTTTCGGACATAACCTTAAAAGCGTAGGTCCCGTATCGCAGTAAACGTTGGTACGATAAAGAATGACCCAATGAATTATGAGTGTCGAGTATATATCTAAAATTGAAGCCCTTCACCGGCATACGGTGACGTCTCCATATGAGTGAAAAATTCTCCATTGGGACGTTAAACTACATCAATCAAACAATCAATGAAATGCCTGGATACCTATAATTTTTTAACTGAAATATATATTTGTTGATTAATTGCCTATCAGAAAATGCATAGTAGATGCTTTAATATGATTGAAGAATTTTTTAGGGTGAATTATAAGTCTGTAATACTCAATCACTGAAGCATGATTTTCGGAACCTGAGGATCGGGCTACATTAAAGTACAGTGTGAAAAATATATACTATACGCATAATATACATAACAATATTTATGCATATGTGTATATAACTTTTCATGCAGAAAAAATTGAGAGAAATGTTATATAATCTCAACCTTAAAGAACTATATGCGGTATATTGCATGTATTTGTCCTGGCAAAAGTCAAATTTTAAAAACTTCCTGAAATGTGCTGAATTCAATCAATTGAATGAGAAATATAACTTAACAGAAAATATTAAAGTTGCTAAGCAGTGTGTTAACAATTTTTGTTTTCATGACGTCACAAACTAGTCCGATTTTATATCCTTTTTCAGAAAGAGGACAAAATGAACAAAATTTCAACAATTTTAGCTTTAGAATTTATGGAGCGCAAGTTTGTTCAGAAACAATATTGACATATTTCATTGATATTATCATTCTACACATTATATCAAAATATTGATCCTGAACACACATGCGCTCGGTGAATTTTACTCAAAATATCGACGAAATATGTACATTTTCTGTAAAATTCATAAAAAACTGAAAACTACGTCATGTTTGTGAAGTCATTACGTACATATGACGTCATTACTTATGAAAATATTCAGTGCTTTGAAATAAGCATATACTCCCCTGTTTAAGAACTTAATTAAATATATCTCCATCAAAGTTTGATTTGGGGGGCAAATATTGGTTATTACCAAATAAAGTTCTTTGAATTCATATTCTTCGAGTTGAAATTGTTTTATTTCAATTTTTAATAAATTAAGGTCTTCCGTCTCCAAAGGAAGACCTTCTTGTTATTCTTCGGTTTCTTTTTCCCTTTTCGTACCTATTTTGTGCACGCGAGTTCTCAGTAGTGGCTCATCCGATTTTCTTCAAACTTTCAGATCTGATAGGTATTGCTCTGAACTTATTGGAACTTTTTTTTGGCGTTGACGTCACTTTCTATCTTGAGATATTATGGATTTTCTGATTTTTAGAGTGTAGGCTTGTCCGGGAAACTCCTCCGAAACCACTTAAGATATTGACTTACGATTTTCAGTCAAAATAGAGGAAGAATTGTAGAGTTGCGGGCTGGTGTCCAAATCTTTCTAGCGCAAAAGGCGCCGAAGCTCGGTAGGGCCCGAAAAATATCTCAGAAACATCTCACAGAATTTTACACCTTTTGTTTCATATCTTCTTGTCTCTTTATAATTTGTTAAGACGTATTGAACAAAAGTTGTGCAGAATGAAAAGAACTTTTATATGATATGAAGAAAATGGGGCGGACTTATCAAATTAGGGGCTCAGAGGGGCCAGAAATCTTTCTGTAGAAAGATTAGAATGGTTCTATCTAATAGAATCGATGAACAGGAGATTTGGTGACCATACACTACCGGAAACGCATAAAAGAGAACTTCAGTAAATCAAGAAGACGGCTGGTGAATCCTTCCAAGAATACTCGACTAGGATTGAAGCTAATATGAGCAAAGCATACCATTGAATTTAAAATACTGAAATTTATAAGAGTTTAAGCATCGAGCACATGCTAAATGGAATCAACGATCAATCTTTTGCATATGATGTCTTAACTAAACGACCACAAACCTTGCAGGAGGCTGTAAATCTGCTCTCTTGGCATTTCTCGTGCAACAATGGTATT